CCCCCCCCCCCCCAGATATGGCTGTTCAAACAGAAGCCCGAGTCACTGGACCCACTGATGAAATTTCACAGCTGTACATCATTCTTTGGAACCAACTATGTTGAGACACGAAAGGTAAATGTATACCTTTGAGTAAATTACAAAGTGAAGTTTGCTCTCTGCTGCTGGGGCCTGCTGAACCGTATGGACACACCTGGTGCCATCATGAGGCAAGGCAGCCATCTCAAATGGCAAATTCAAGGTGTAGTCAAAAGCAGAAGTGTTTGCCATGCATTTCTGTTGCATAAGCCTCATAGAAACTGTTAATGCAACCATGTTGAACACACCAGAACTGTGTGATTTTGGTAGCTAACCTGGATGCAAGGCCTGGTTAATCCTTGATGGGATTTACAAGGAGGGCTAGCATTGTTCGATCTTAAATACCACTAACAGCCTGCATTTTTTATTATGGTGTTGATAGTTTTTGTCAAGTGAGGATTTCAGTGTTCATGTTGTATGTGTGCTATAAGCCTCTTCAAGATACTTTTGGAATGAGGAGCAATGTGTGAATAAACAATAACTTTAATTAAATTACGGACAGGGAGCCATCAGTACTGTGCCTTTAGTGGCAGGGAGGGAGCAGGCTTCCTTTAGAGGTATGAAGCCAAACTGATTGTATTAGTCTTTTTCTCATCACAGCTGGATTCTTTGTCTTTCAGATGGATCTGAGTGAGGATACGGCTGAGAAGCTCTATGAGAAGCTGTTGCAATTAGAGAAGCAAGTTTTAGCGAGGTGCAATGAACTGCAGCACAAAAAATAGCAAGACACAACTAATGTTGCTCCTCTTTGTGAGAGAAAAAGTTTCTCCCATTTGGAACATCCCACCAGCCCCATTTTTCACCTTTGTAAAGCAGGCCGCTTGTGTCATCATGAGGCTGCAGTGCTGAAAAAAACCCAAAAATGCCTTATAATTTAGTCTTTCTCTCCAAGTGTGGTGCTTCTACCAACTATAATTTTTATCATGTCATATTTTGGTCTTAATAATTATTATGGTTTTTGATCCACCCTAATGTTTGTCATTTCTTTTTATGAGTCTCCATAGCCTGTGAACTCTTGTAGAGCAGGGCACTTGCCTCAAATAAGGAATAAAAACAGAGGATCACTGTGTCCTCAATTCATCCAGTCTCTCTCTGTGCATGTATGGAACTGGCCATATCCTGGAAGAGTACCTCTCATCTTCTCGGCCAAAGAGCTGCACCTCGGGCTTCTGTGTATTGCAGCCCAGGGTAATTGCTTTCCCACTCCCAGCCCCCATGGAAGAAAATCTGAGAAACTCTTTGGCATCATCAGGTTCAGTTTGGGGTTAGTGTTTCTTGTCCATCATAGGCATCCTTCAGTCCTGAGAGACTATGGTAACATGCTCTGTATGGAGGACTTCGACGCTGTATGTGAAGCTGGAGTGTCCTCTCCAGAGCATGAAGACTGGGTAAAATAGTATGGAGGATAGGCTGTTACCCAAGCAGCAAATCCCCCCTCCACATTGCTGAAATAGTCCAGTGGAAAGGCGAGAGCCAATACAATTGGTTCCAGCGACTGCCTTCGGGACTCCAGCTCCGGATTTTGCCTCGAGGTTTACTCCTGAAGCCTTTTCCATCAGTGGAGATAGCCACAACTCGGTGGAGGTTTGAAATCAAAGTTTTCCTTCTCCTAGATGGGCTGCCTTCCCAGGCTAACAAGTCCCACCTACCTGGGTTAAAATGCTTAACAGTGTCTGAATCATGCCTTCAGTTTCAAAGGGGATAAAGTATGGTTCAACAGTTATTAGCACTAAACTTTAATTAAATTACCACTGCTGTGCAAAAGCATGTTCAAATTTAGATGGCTGTAACAGACTATCTTGTTTTGGAAAGAAGTCAGCTCCACCAGGCTCTTTCTTCTACCCAGTATCATCCTGCCACTCTCCTGCCCACCTTCTCTCAGCTCACCACCGCCATCTTCTTGTCATTGGGCTAGAAAACTAAAATCACGTTAGTTTCTCATAAGATGGTCATCCCCCTTGTTTTTTCTTTTCAAGAGATACACATCCTCTACTCCCAGGATACAATTTTTCTAATCTGTACACATACATTTCTGCAACAAGGTGGTCTGCATCCTCTTCAAAGCATTTTAAGAGCGGTGGTTTTGGGGGGGCGGGGAGACTTTGCTAGCTAAGGTTGTCTTTCAAATTCCCCATATAGTGTTCTTCATAATGTACAGACTGCTTCCTCTTAAAGTTGCAGGTTGCTCCTCTTGACTTTCAGTGGAAGTGTGTGTGTGTTTACTCAGAAATAAGGCTATTAAATGGAACAGAAATTATTACCTGGTTAATATACACAGAATTGTAGTATTAAAAGACTGAAAAACATGTCAGTAAGCATAAACAGCAGTGCTTTATTTGAAAGACTGATATTTTTGCTAGGATTTGCAAACATCTTTGAGGGCAGGAGGTGATGAAAAATGTCCTGTGAAGATTTATGTTTTCTGTCCAGCAACAGTGTAAGGTAAAGGTAAAGGCACGACTGGACAATTTATGTCCAGTCATGTTCGACTCTAGGGCGTGGTGCTCATCCCCATTTCCAAGCCATAGAGCTGGTGTTTGTCCATAGACAGTTTCCGTGGTCACATGGCCAGTGCGACTTAAGACATGGAATGCTGTTACCTTCCCACCGAGGTGGTCCCTATTTATCTACTCTCATTTGCATGCTTTTGAACTGCTAGGTTGGCGGGAGCTGGGACAAGCGACTCCGTCACATGGATTCAATCTTACAGCTGAAGATCTATAGACCTTACAGAAGCTTTTGCGGTTTAACCTACAGCGCCACCACATCCCTATAAGAGTGTAATTATTAGCAAAAATAATATCATGATCACAAGCAATGGTTTCTAGATTGCATGCAAGAGGAGAATCCAGTGTAGTTGCCAGTTGCACAAGTGATTATGTAAGCAATAGTGAGCCTAGGGGGCATAAGAACAGGTAAGTGTTGCTTGTACAACCAGAAAAACCAATTGTCTCTACTAGTGAACTGGTTTCTTCTATTAATATTTCATTGTTGTTGTTCCTCCCCTGCTCAGCTCTTGCAAGCCTGTGGCTTCCTTCAGAGAGACAATTCATCTCATATTTGGTCTTCCTGTTTTCTTGTTGCCTTCAACCTTTTCAAGCATTATTGCCTTTTCCAGGGAACCCTGCCTTCACATGATGAACCCAAAGTAGATCAGCCTCAGTTTTAACACTTTTGCCTCCAGAGATATCTAGGACACACTAGTTTGTCTTTCTGGCAGTCCAGGGTATCTGTAAAGCTCTCCTTCCACACCACATTTCAAATTATTTTTTCCCCTGTCAGCTTTCTTAACTGTCTAGCTTCCACACCCATACATTGTGATCAGAAATACAAGAATGTGGATGATCTTGGTTTTCAATGACACATGCATACATTTGATGACCATTTCTAATTCCTTCATTATTGCCTTCCTAGTCTCAGTACATGGTGGCACTGTGGGTTGAACTGCAGAAGCCTCTGTGCTGCAAGATTGGAAGACCAGCAGTCATAAGATCGAATCCACGTGACTGAGAGCTCCCGTCGCTTGTCCCAGCTCCTGTCAACCTAGCCTAGTTCAAAAGCATGTAAAAATGTGAGTAGATAAATAGGTACCACCTTGGTGGGAAGGTAACGGCGTTCCGTATCTAGTCGCGCTGGCCACGTGAACATGGAAGCTGTCTACGGACAAACACTGGCTCTATGGCTTGGAGACTGGGATGAGCACCGCCCCCCTAAATGTCAAGGGGAACCTTTACCTTTACCTAGTCTCAGTTAATTGTATTCTGATTTCTTGGCTATAGTCTCCATTCAGATCGATGACTGACCAAATTATATAAAATGTCTAAGTATTTAAACTTCTTAATTGCCAGTGCTAAAGTTGTGTAGTTCTGTTGTCATGATTTTTGTCGTCTTAACTGTAGTCCTGCTTTGACACATTCTTCTTTCACTTTCTCCTACAAGTTGTTTCAACTCATTGCTGGCTTCTGCCATCAGAATGGCATCATCTCTGTGTTTCTTCCACCAATTATTGGGGTATCTTCTACCAATTTTCACACCTCCTTCCTCTGAAGCTAGTTTGACTTGTCATATGATATATGGAAATCTGCATACAGATTGGACAGGTAAAGGGATAAAATGCACCCTTATCAACAACTTTTCCTGTAGGAAACCATTCTCTCTCTCTCCATATTCTGTCCTAACTGTTGCTTCTTGTCCACAATACAAGTTATACATCAGGAACATCAACCGCTGAGGCATACCCATTTCTTTCAGAACAATCTGCAGTTTCTCATGATCCACACAGTCAAAGTCTTTGCTGTAGTCTTTAAAGCATAGACTGGTCATCTTCTGAAATTCCTTAGTGCTATCCAGTGGCCAGCAGATATTTGCAATGTGATCTCAAGTGCCTTCTTTTTGAAATCCAGCCTTGTGGTGCAGTGGTTAAACTGCTGTACTGCAGCCAAAACTGTGCTCACAACCCAGGGTTCAATTCCAGGTAGGCGGCTCAAGGTTAACTCAGCCTTCTATCCTTCCAAGGCTGGTAAAATGAGTATCCAGCTTGCTGGGGAGGGTGGAATGTGTAGCCTGCATAATTAACTTGTAAACCGCCCAGAGAGTGCTTGAAGCGACATCAGGCATTTCTTATAAGGGAAATGAAATAGTTAAGAACAAGCTGAAACAATGAGCAAACTTTCAGTGTCCTCAATTCTTCAGTGGAATTCAGTTGGACATTTTGTGACATTTTCAATAGATGTATATTCAGAGGATTGGAGCACCAGGCTTTGGAGCTAGGAGTCCGTTTCCCCATCATGCCTCTCGAGGGAAGAGGCAGCATGTGCCGTGGGGAAGCTGCATTGTACCAGAATGCCTCTAGAAGAAGAGAATGGTAAACCATTTCTGAGGACTTCAGAGTTTAGAAACCTGGAAAGGGTCACTATGTCTCAGAAGCAACCAATTGAATTTTTAAAAGCATTGTTGCAACAAACAAAACCAATTTATGCCGTCTGCTTGTGAGATAGAAAAAGGATGAGCAGCTGGACTGTGAGCAACAAAACCTCCACAGCCTCTAGAGAAGTGCAGGTCTGGCTGTTACAACGCACTGGCAGATAAATTGGCAGATAAATGCAGATACATTAAGATTTTGTTACTAAAGTAGTTTTCAAAATGCACCCCTTCTGGTGTGTGACAACTGATGCAAAAAAAAAAATCTGAAAAAAAAGAAAGTAAGTACTTTGAAAAGTTTTGTAGCAGTTGTACAAATGCTAAAAACATGCAAGTACTCCGATCAATATAAGTAAGCAAACAAAACAGGATGACAGTGAAATGGTAGCCATGTGCAGAATAGCTCCATATTCTTTAGTGCAGCAGTTCCCAACGATGGTTCCCTGTATGTTGGACTACAATTCCCAGAAACCCTGAGTATTTGCCATATTGGCAAGATATATTTTAGAACAGTATTGTCCAATAAATTATCTTTTTGCATATCCTTGAGATTGATTCTCCCTCCTCCATTAGCAGTGCCTTCCCTCCATTATATTCTGTTTAGGTTTAATGGCCTTGATCAATCACTCATTTTTAAATATTTACTCTTAAGTTCTGTGCTTTAATTGACAAGATCTGATCACCCTGGACTAGGCTAGAAATCCTTCTACGTAAGACATCGGTTTAATCTCATTCTGCTCCTGAATGTTCTATGGTCCTTTTGTGCCCAAATATGTCCTGGAGGCTAAGTTCCTTTTCCCAGGCTGGAATGTTTTTGTGACGGATGTAGCGGGCTTTCCTTGCTTCAGAATAGGACTTCAGGAAATCTGGCCTGCTGTACATGTTCCTGGGGCATCCATCAGCACCATAAGCTTCTGCATCCATGATCAGCTTCTCTTGGCCAAGGGAAGGTCTTCGCTTTCCTGGAATGTTCACGAATATGGTGCTACCTTGGGCTCCAACATCCCTCCCTTGATCATCTGTGCCATTATTCTCCTCTGTCTCCCCAGATTCTGCTGAAATAATTAGTTGCTTGGAAGTGGAATGTCTAAGGGTAGTCATGTCCCTGTCATCAGTCATGTTCTGATCTTTGGGCTTCAAGGGTGGCAGGTGTCCTTTTCTGTCCCCTGCACTTCCTGAGATATCACTGTTGAGTGTCTGTGGACGAAAGGAAGCCTGGCTTGCTTCTGAAAGTCCCCTGCCCTTGGAAAATGTTTTCTTCCTGGATTTGGGGGAAAGGAGAGTCAGGCAAATCTTGACAAATCAGAATGATTATCAGTTCAGTTGCTTATATGAGTTTACAAAATCTACAGCTATTAAATTGCTGAGAAGTGTCCATCCTGCCGAGTGCAAACTCAAGTTTGTAGTACAGAGGTTTCTTTTATTTATTTATTTTAACCCCTTTCTAATAGGGGGTCTTTGGCTAAAATCTCCTGGAACACAGAACAAAATCTAACTTTAAGAAACTTAAAACCTAACTGCACAGAATCGAGACTGTCCTGTGAGGAAGAACTCATGCAGACCCTAACCGCTCCACCTACTCCCCCCCCCACTCAATTTTAAAATTGGAGAGTGTTTGTAAACATTTATTTGTAAGTACTGTATACTTAAAGTAAGAGATTTGGCTGCAGATCATGGATGGCCACGCTTCATGGACAGCCTGAAGTTAGTTGCCAGACAATGAGCCACTTCAGATATAAAACAACACCGTTATGATAAGGATGAGAAGGCCTGACACCCAGGCCTTCTGCAGTCCCTCTTCCCTTCTGTGTTGTGTGCCAGAGGAGCATGTCTAACCTTGCAGTGGCTAATCTGAATGAAGCACTTGCCTGTATTATCAAAATATACAGAACAGGTTTGTTCTAATCACATTTATTAAATGAACTAGGATTTGAAACCTTGACTTGAGTGACTTCACTGTGGTTAGAACAAATCTGTTTGCCATACTTAGTCCTGTTTACTCCTAATCATGTCCACATTTAATCAGCAGCAGTCTGCGATGTGATGAAAGCACGGGGGGTTTTGGTTGATAATGTTAGAAGTTGTCCATCTAACAGTACCCTTAGGATCAAAATATGTTACAGATGATTAGTGTTCAGGGCCTGCCAGCTTTCTTTAATATCTTTAAACTGACCCTGTTGAATTCCTGACTTTTTCCCTGACTTTCTATTTTTCTTTAAAAAAAAAAATTAAATTCTCATATTTACACAATAAGGGGAAATATGGTCCAAGTAATATTCTGTCCAGTTGCTAAGTAAGAAGATTCCTGTTCCCACTTCTGGCATTTTGAACATTGTTATTTTTATTTTATTCACATTATTAAGACATGCTCATTTCAAGCACAACGCTCTCCAGGTTTACTCAATAGGTTTCACTGTTTTCCGTGGGTCTTACTTCTAGCTAAGTGTATAGCCTTGGATATTTTGTAATTTAGGTTGTTGCCACTCTTAAGTGTCAAGATACTATCCCATAGTTTGCCACCAAAGTTTTGGCTATAGATCTGCTGGTAGCCCATTAGAAAGAAATCAGAACCTCATTGAAGCATATTGGCTGAAATCCTGATAGGCAGCATCCACCTATACACAACAGGAATTATGTCATTGACAGTGACAGATTGCTGCTAATGAAATGCTACTTTTTGTGATTTGGGGGTGGGTGGGTCATGTGACTTCATTGCATTGCATGCACCCCAAAATTGCAAAAGGAATTTGTAATGAAATTGAATGGAGCTTCCATATGAGGAAGGGGGAATAGCAGAAGTACACTTGCCTCCCCATCACAGTTTTTATCACTCTCCATTTGTAGAGTTGTCAACTGTAAGAGACAGCATTTTGCTAAACATGGAATCATGAACTAGAAAGCTAGGGTACTAGAGTTTGAATTCATGTGGACAACCTCTGCAGATATAAGAAGCTGTCCTGAACAATCACCCTCTATGGCAAAATCCAGAACACAGCCAGTGTGTTTGTGACGATTGGCAGAGTGTGGAAATGTATTGGCTAAAAGCCTCTGCACGGTGGATAAAAGTTAAAGGACATAAAAAGTAGAATTAGCTTCAAGTCTTCTCTCAGTACACCTCCCCTTATTGCTTAGTTTTCCTCAACTGGCACTTACTGTCTATAATTCACACAGACACTGGTAAGAAAAAAAGAATTAAAAGGTTTCCATTTTACTCACAGTTCTTTATAGATAAAAACAAACAGCATTCTGTAGAAAAATATTAACTAGTTACATGAACAGAGCTTTATTGATTTACTAGTTTCATGACTAACTGCAAGACTTACTAAATGACCAAATGGATTACTCTTAACTGTCTACAGACTGGCTGCCTCAAAAGAGTGTGGGAAAACAAGACTTGAATAGAGACGTGTGGCTCCCTTCAAAATTCTGAGATAGAAAGGGAACAATTGGCTCCTATTGGATTGACTGGCATTCACCCCTGTCCAGAAAGGCATCCCCCAGCCACAACCTCTTAGAGGGAACAGTGACTACACTAGACTACAGGCTTTAAAATGACTTTGTATGGTTTTCGGATTATAATTATAGATGATCAGAGATAACTTTTCCAGCACCCCAATTCTAGGAGCTCAAAGTGATGTCCTCCTGGAACCCATACTTACCACATGGAACCATGGAAGCCACTGTAATCCTGCCTTGCTTGAGGAAAGAGCAGAGGGAAAGGCAACGTCACGCTCATGGGCCCAGGACTCAGTGAGAGTTTCTGCTTGGAGCGGCCTGTAGGAAGAAGAAATGTAACAGCTGTAGTCAGAGTGCTGTTGAATTTGATGCCTCAAGAGCTGTGAGACTAGGCCAGTCAGTACTGAGGAGATACATGAAAGGTCTGCTAACTGGATGGTTTTTTTAAAATAAACAAAGAAAAAAACAGCTGGCTGGGATGTTGGGGGGATTTTCACTTGCCCAATACCAAAATACTGCTATTTCATCTCTGCATCAGGTCCAACTACTTTGAAAGACATGGGTCTCTTGTCGAACATGAGTTAAATGAGTGGACTCACAAAACATTAAAAAAATGCCTCTCAAATTTCATAGTTGCCCATGGCTAGGGCTATACCTAGATTATGCTTAATAGTCATGATTTTCTTAAGCTAGGCCAGGCTACAGTTTGCATCCTGCACAAAGCCCCAGACAGAAAACATTCACCGCAGTTCTGCATCCTTTAGAGGCATCCAACCAATTCAGTGACACTTTGTTGAGTACATGGATCCTGTTTTTTCCAGATCAGAACACAGTGACCATGGGGTTTATCTGAGGGGGTCATGGTGACACAAATTCTGCAAACCTTCATTCTAATTATTGAACCTTTGCTGAAAGGGGAGTGGGGACATTGTTTGCTTTTGTGTTAGACAATTGATGAGGGTGACGTTGGTTGTCCTTGATCTATTTGCATAAATGTTTAAAGCATAATTCAGTCCGTAAACTTAATCAAGACTCTGCATATATAGGCTCTCCTGTTGCAAAAGAAGCACTGTTTAAAGCATAATTCAGTCCATAAACTTAATCAAGACTCTGCATTATAGGCTCTCCTGTTGCAAAAGAAGCACTGGATACCTCATCCCATGTATCTCCATGAGTAGATGATATTCCACCCCTAGGCAGAAACAAAATCATCATCATAGATGGAAAATCCTCACCTTTTTGCAGCCTCACAAGCTCCTCTTGGAGTCGCTTCTGTTCCTTAGTTACTGAATTCAAACAGGAGAACCGGGCTTCTTCTAAACTCTGCAGGCCCTGGCTGAGTCTGGCCTCTGCTCTCTTGACATCCCTCCTCTTTGCCTCCCAGCGCCTTGAGGTCTCTCCTTCTGTCATGTCTCTCTTTACCCACCACACGTGTTCCCTTAATCCTTCCCCTAAGGAGAGAGAAGGATGACAGATACTTGGAAGTGTCCACACTGGCATTTCTTTCCCATGCCATGTTGGTTCTGGAAGAGTGACTGGCCCCCCCTGAAGAAATCTGAAACAGGTGATGATAAATAAAGACAAAATGGATATAGAGGCTTTTTTTAACATGAAATGCATCAAATAAAAAGTGTAAATTAATTTCTGGTCAGACATTTATGAGAAGGCTTGTGGGAATTCAAAGTCAAGCAGGGTTGCAAGGATTATTTCTAAGGAATGTGAATTTAAACTTGGATGAGGGAGTGCAGGGAATGCCTGTCAAACTTTCAGATGGCACAAAATTGGGTGGAATAGCTAATAAAAAGAAACAAAAGAACAAGAGATACTGTAGGTTAATGCTTTATTGATATTAATATTAATAAGTTCAAAGTAGGGAAGATGCTGGAAATCGATGGATTGGGACCAGAGTACTATAGAATTGTTCAAATAATCTTGATACCTAAATTAAAGCTCCTTCTAAATAAAATCAGATGGCACAAAATTGGGTGGAATCTCTAATAAAAAGAAACAAAAGAACAAGAGATACTGTAGGTTAATGCTTTATTGATATTAATATTAATAAGTTCAAAGTAGGGAAGATGCTGGAAATCGATGGATTGGGACCAGAGTACTATAGAATTGTTCAAATAATCTTGATACCTAAATTAAAGCTCCTTCTAAATAAAATAGTGGAAAGGGAAGAGATTCCATCATTTTGAAGTAACACCCAGCAGTCTCCTGAAAGCCACTTTGAGTTCTTTCCAGAATCTTGGAAACTTTGGCTAGCTAATGCTAGGTCTCCCCATTTTGACTGGAAAGCAGTTAATGATTGTTTAGCTTGCTCTAGTGTAACATACATTGAGCAGGATCCAAACTGATCATATTAACAGAAAGCATCAGGTCCAGGGAATATCTCCCCTGGAAGCAGGGAACAGTGGGAGCCCCCTCCCCAGATCCCCTTTTGCTACGAGGTCTCCTGCATCTAATTATTCTCCAGAAGATCCTCTCTAGAGCAGCTTTTTGAGAGTCACAGGGGCCGCTAAGGAAGAACAGCAAAAGCGCACGCACACACACACACGTGTGCACACGCGTGTGCGCGCGCGCGCACACACACAACACACGCACACACACGTGTGCACACACGCGTGCACACACACACACACACACACACACACACACACACACACACCGACAGACAGACAGACAGACAGACAGACAGACATCTTTCTTCAGTTCAAGAACTCGGCATAAGCGCTTTTCAGCAAAAGTAGCAAAGAGCTATTGTGTATCCAGCCTTTTACCTCCCTAATCCTTACAATATTGATGGAAGGAAGGTGAGTGTTGTTGTTACCATAAGAAGGGGATATAGGTTAGTTTAGATTCACTAAGAGAGGTTATAGAAGTTATACTATTGTTGTTTGTATGGAGTACCAGAATATTTTTATAATTTGCAGGATATAATCTGAAACAGCAGCATTAGAGTGGGATTAGCAACACTGATGTGAACAGTGAACTGCTGCCCTAAATCATCTTCTGGAGCAGTACAGATACTCTAGCTACTATTCCCTCACTAGGAAGGGTCTCAAGAGATCCCACTAGACCTCATGTTGATGTGTGTTCCTTATTTCATTTAACAGATTAAATGCACTTAGATCTCCAAGGACACCCCTGATCCTCTACACACTTCAGGAATCTCATTGGACTAAGTGGATCCTCTTCCTGAATGTAGACACAGAAGATTACACTGCAAAACTGCTCCTAGAAAACTATCTTTTGCCTTAAAGTCTGAAAGAGACAGGAAAGAAACTTTCCAAGGCAGGATAAACTCAGAATAGACTTGCTCCTGTTTACTCCTTTAGAGAGGGGTTGCCATGAGAAAATACATTATCTAAGCTGTAATTAATATATATTACAATTGTGTAATAGCAATATTCTGTTGTGTCGACATACCTTTTATAATGAATGAGTAAATGGTGACAAACCTGTCGATGCATATGCTGCTAACCTTGAGTTTCTCTTGTGTCTCCAATGCAGCTTAAAATAGGCAGAATGGATCCTGGTATAACAAGGTTTCTATGCAAGCAGTGACCACTGCAACCCTCCCAATTTGGTGTCCTTTGAGTGTTTGGGGCTACATCTGCCAAAGGGCAATAGGACTTGCGGTCTAACATATCTGGAGGGCACCAGGTTGGGAAGGGCTACCCTAGTAGATAGTAGGAGCTTTGGTTACATTGCTCGTTAGGGTGCATGAGTGCATCGTTCCTATACAGGAGGTGTATAACAACTAAAGACAAACCATAGGTCCACCCCACAGATGCACAATGGCTATTAGACACGGACAACACAAAAGTGAGAGGACGGGAGGTATTGAGGAGGAACATGGTCTGACAGAAGTAAATAGATTTAAAAAAAGTCCAGCTCCAAAACAGAAGCTTCCGTTGCAGAGAATGAGCCTGCCTGAATGAAATGGATTTGTCCAGAGTGGATTTAGTCCTACATTTCTTAAAAAGCAACAGAGGCTAAGAATACTTCTGTGGTATTATAGCAGTTTTCAGAGGTTCTGCTTTTGCAGAGCTCAAAGGCTCCCTGATAACTTTGTAAGTAGCACATCATTTAAAGTTCAAGGAAACCCCCCCCCCCAAACTGACTGTTTCTCTCCCCCATCCCACCCAGCCATGCTGTAGTCAACAAGACTGCTCAGACAAGACGACATTTTGGCAGATGTAACTCCTGCAACAACAGGCTGCCCGTGACATCAACACAACTACAGAGGGAACAAAGGCTGTTTTCCTTTCTATCTGCAGGCACTCTGTCAGGGTACTCTTGTCAATGGGAAGGGAAGGAATACCAACATAGAGCAGTAGCAGGGCTTACCGTCGCAGGCTTCTTGAGATAAGGAATGTTCTTTGGCTGAGGAAACAGCCACTCCCGTGAGGTCAGAAGACAAAGCTGCTTTTAGTGTTTTCCATCATTCACTTGTTCTGCCTTCCAAAAACCCAGAAATATTCATGACATTATAAATGCAATTATAATGAAATTATAAATCTTTTCACTATCTGGCCTCATGCAGGGCAAGTGAAGTCAGTGTATTCCTAGTCTTGCTTGGAAACCTCATTGTGGTGGTTGCTGGCTTGTTGCCTAGGAGGTAGAGGACGCTAGGGAAGCTTAGCTACTTCACCCAGAGGAACAGCCCTGTGACGTTTTCTTCGTGGCCCCTGCCTGCTTCCCCGCACAAGGAGTTCACGCTACGCCTTCTGACCACTTGAGACGGTTCCTCTTTCTATCGCTGCCACCAGTGGATTTTCTTTTATCCACAATACCAAGAACTGTGGACAAACGCTTGTCTGATTACTGTCAACATTTATTTATTATTTATTTATTAAGGTGTATTAAAGTTGATCACAGATGTTCTTTATATAATTCTTATAGTCAAATCATTCAAGTGCCAGATACTTTCCACATAAACAGTCACCACCTACTATATTTATTGATCTTAATCAGCATATCATTATTCATTATCTCTTATTACTGTCTCCCTGACTATTTATCTCTCTCTCTCTCTCTCTCTCTCTATGCAATTTCTCTCCACCACTCTCAACAACCATCAAATTTAGTACTCTCCACTTCTCTCTCTTGCCAAGACCCTTATCTTTGGTGACTCCGCCCCTCCACTCCTCTCATAGGCTCATGTAAATGAGACCCTGAATGTGATTGACAGGAGTGAAGTGGGGTGACCGCCACGTAACTCCCTCCTAGGAAAAGTTTGTTTCATGGGGGGAACATTATAGTTTACCCTCATGAACAACTTAATAGGCATGGAACTATTTATAGAAAACATCACAGCAATAATCTGTTAAATATTAAATCATGTACTATATGATACCTCTTAACACAACATATTTATCAGATATAGTACTTATACATTTCTTACATTAGATCACTCTCATCTACAGTGTTTAATAGATCAACCTTACTACTTTAAACATTAAAAAAATTCAGTACACTTGTAACCATTTGCATTCCTTACATTAATACAACACACAAAAGGTATACATTTATGCTATTACTTAACCATTATTTTAACAAGACATTGCATTTTTATTTACATTCCAAAACAAGAGCATAATCAGAACATTTGATACAACACTATATTTGATACCAGCCATTACATGTTTTCTCATCCAACCGTCAGTCTTCTAGTCTTCGCGACAACGCCTCAGCTACCACATTCTCGGTTCCCTTCATGTTGCGAAGTTCAAAGTCAAAGTCCTGCAAAGTCCACCTCATCAGTTTGTTGTTATTGTTGTTATGTGGGGCTGTAGAAATTATGTTGTATAGTCCCAGAGAACCACCAGAAGGAGGGGCTAGTAAACCATTTCTGAGTTTTCAGTACTCAGAACTTCTGAGTATACTGTACTAAGAAAGCCTGGAAGTGTAACCTTAAGTCAGAACTGGCTTGATGGCACATCATTATTTTTGCCCTCTCAAGTGGCAATACATGAGCCAAGACCATTTCAGAAACCATTGTGTCTTTGCACCGTGGGATATCCTCATGAGTGCAAGGTTGTTGCAGAACATCCCCATTCAATCTTCCTTCCTACGTGTTAGTGCTCTTGCAGGGCTCCTATGTGTTGCTGTGGAGATATGCCTGACGGTCAAAATGGAAATGTCAGAAAAGAAAAGGTCCACCAGGCATCAGGATGAGCACAGTCACAGCAAGAATAGTCAAATTAATGCTTGCCCTTTTTTTTAACACTGTAATGTACGTAGGTAGGTATGCATACATGCACTTAACTTCCATACCATCCACCTGGCTACCAAGGCCACTCTAGGCAGTTCACAACATGATAAAGCAAACAACCCTTTAAGAAAAATAAACATGATAATAATAACAGAAAACAAAATTAAACACACCAATCCATATACACAATGTCAAAATAACTAAAACTAATTTTAAAAGGCAAGATGGTGGGACAGGTGATAGATAAGTGCTGAAAAGGCCTCTGTACTATGATGGTATAATGACCAGGAAAGCCTGCCTGAAGAGCCACATTTTCAAGGATCATTTGAAGATTCCCAGTGAAGGGGTCAGGGGAAGTTCAGGTGGGAGATCATTCCAGAGGTGGGGGGGTGACCTCTGAGAAGACCCGGTTTCTGGTCTTCTCTTTCCAGGCCCCTCTCAGGATCAGTGCACTCAACCGCCCAGAGTCCGTCTGGCAGATCTGTAAAAGGCCACACAAGCTCACACTCTGGAGTTGAACCTTTAGCCTCCTGATAAAACTTCATGCAACACAACTACTTTAAGAACTTTAGTTTGAAGTTCTAAAAAATTGTTTTGTCTCCAATCAAGTCACAGGCACTGACAACTAGTTGTCAATTACCTTCTCACAAGTTGTCACAACCAAACAGCAAAAGAAACTTTGGTTGAGGGAGATTACAAACAACTCTGTAGCTGAGTTTGCTTTTTTTTGTGGGGGGGACATTTCCCACCCCATTCCCCAAACTACTGCATGATGACAAGACATAAGCTATTACCATCAGGGGAAATGGGGTAGAATCTGTTTTAGTGCATATTTGTGGTTTTTAAAATCATCACACACTAAGCAATTTGGTTTAAAGCAGGGGTGTCCAACCTTTCACCTTCCCTGGGCCACATCAGAAGATGAAAATTTGGTTTGAGCCGCACATAAAATAAAATAACAGTAACAATACCTGATCATCCAAAAACCCCATAGAAAACATAGTTAACATACTAAACTTACTTGGAAATGAAGTTAGTGAGATGTTTGACATTGTTTCTCAGGGAGTGAAATACACTAGCTTTTACTGACATTCTCGACACCGTTAATTTTCCGCATGGAGATGATCAATCATAAGCCCCCAAGGGCTTGCTTTCAACCAATATAATCTCTTTCCTGCACTTCTTTTCATGTTAAAGTTGGTGACATTTAATATGTCAGTTTAAGGGGAGGTCTACTGCCAGAAGAAAGTCAAATCTAACTTTTCTGAGTTGATTTGTGGTCTATTTGCAAGAAGGTCCAGCAGCTAGCAAGCACCAGCATCTCTGTCTGAGCTGTTTCCCCCCCTCTCAGCAACCACACACACCAACCAATCTCATGAGGTAGAGAAGACGCAACCACAGCTGGAAGACACAGTCAAGAGAACCTTTCAAGTGGGTCTTTTGAAAGTTTGCTGTAATGAAGGAGCCACACCAGAAAGACTGGGGCCTAGAAATTTCACCCTTATCTGGCACTGATTCATACGCATTATTTTTCATTAGGGAAAGTTCACACATTTCCCTGTCAGTCAGCAAGTGTTGAGAAACTGTGATGGGGAAAAGAACAGCAACAGGTAAAACACATGTTGTGCAAACCAGATGTCAGGATAAAAACTGCAGGTTCCCACAGCAGGAATCCGAAGGAAGGGTTTCTCCGCCTACACATTGGCAACAAACTTTTCCTTATCCGCTTGTTAGGAGCCTGTTTCTTGTTCCCCAGGAACACAGATGCACCCCTGGAGCACAGGCATGCCTGGGTGTCAATATAACTGGATGCAAGCGCTCCAGGTGTGAACTAGGCATCCTGGCAGGTACAAGCCTGCTTCTCAGGACAGGTGCCGTAAGAGAATACAGGTCATACAATGTTGTGCCCATCGTGTGTCTCGGGGCATCTGCAATACACGCAGGGGCAGAAAAGCTCTTGCAAAAGCAAAGCAAATAAACCAAGCAGGACGTGGGAGGGGAGGGGGGAAGGGAAGAGGAACGACAAACGGCCGGACTGGGCTTCCAAAGTCCTGAAGTAAATGAGCACTGCCCATGTATTTGCCCCCTTCTGAAAGCCTTTCAGCAGATCCAGCGACCCCCTAGGAGGCCGCTGCCACCCTGCTTCCCGGTAACGTGTGAAGGCGAGCCCGTGTGGCTGCGATCAGCGGGAAGGCAAGAGACGGCTAGGCCGGAGGGACCCGGGAGCCAGGGCACCGGGGGGGGCAGCGGGGGCACGAGCCGAGCCGAGCCAAGCGTGCGGCCGCTTTCCTCCCACGCCGGGCAGCCAGCAGCGGGCCTGGCAAACCGGGGCGCTTCTCTGCAGAGCCAAGGGGACGCCTCCCGCGCTCCCATGGGGCGGAGGCAAGGCCCGGCCATGCCTTTTGTTGTTTTTCTCCCAGCGGGGAGGGAAGAGGAGAGGACGGGAGGCAGCAGCTCTGCCACGTTCCGGCTTCCAAACAGCCCCGGGGGCCCGGGCAGGAAGAAGCAGCTGACCGCAGGGGAGAAGGGTTGGGTCGCGAGGCGGCTGATGATGATGACAACGACAAAAGCGCCCTTGTGGTTGCATTGCACTGGGCCGCATTACAAGCCAACTTGGGCTGCATGTGGCCCGTGGGCCGCACTTGCCCGTGGGCCCCACATTGGACAAGCCTGGTTTAAAGTATCACACCCTTTCCCACACAAAAAAATCTGCTTCATCAGAAAGGCTAAGGATTCAAAGGAC